TCTACAATGCATTTCCCCAAAACCCCAAAACCCCAAAACCCCAAAACCCCAAAACCCCATTGATCTAAATTTTACCACAATATAAATATTAATTAAATTCTCTAAAATGGAAAATTATCAAAAGTAATAAAGAGAGGCAGAGGAAGAGGAAATAAGTTATAGACAACTTAGGGAAAATGCATTGTAGAAAATCACCTAAAAGTAACAGCAATTTTCAGAGAGAATCTCAACCTTCTTATTGAATTTGGATTCAAAGCATAAAGTGATGACTGATAATTACTCAAAGTGCATTCAAACATAATGCCAGTCACTTAATGCGCATATCTAGCTTAAGAAAAATGCAGAAGATAAGCAGTCTAAGATGTATGCCGTAGATGATAAGTTTTTCAATGATACCCATGATAAGGAGTATGTTTTTGCAAACCTGGAGGATGAACCAGTGATTAATGATTACAATAAATGTGTGGACACTTGTGGTAAATCTCTTCATATGATGAGATTCGAATTGGAGTATCAGCTTAGAGAATTTCATTTGAACTTCAATGAGTGCTTCTACTTCTGCAGACTAGATACAAGCAACACTATTGGGTGTAACTACAGATGCTTTGATGTATATAATCAAGTATTCAATGATGTCGAGTTAAAGCTAAACAGTGAGTATGATAAATACATCTAGAATATTGTGTGATGAAAATTATTCATAAATAAATTGTAATACAAGGTTTAAAGTAAATGCAGATTGAGGAATGTTTGAATTTAATGAGATTTTATTAGAATGTAATTAAAATAACAATTCTCACTTGTTTTAAAAGTTTAAAGATTAAATATGAATAAGTTTAGAAAATCAAACCATTTTTTAAGACAATTTATTGGAATATTCCCAGTTTATGATTATAAACTTCAAGAAATCATTTTCAATGATTATGCATGGTCAGGTGAAGATTTCTTCTTTTTAACTCTCTATCCAGAGCTGGTAGATATTCTGTCTCGTATATCATCCTGACAAAGATATCATATTCCTCAAAACTAATTCTTCCATCATTGTTTAAATCAATCTTCTTATAGATCATATCAATGTCTAACTGTGTGGGTTTCTAGTGCTTACTGTTGAAATATCCCCTCATCAACTAAAAGAAATCAGCTTTCTCTACCTAGCCATCACTATTCTTGTCAGCTTCCCCAAAAAGCATTTTAAATCCCAACTATACCTCTGAGCCTGGGTACTCCCCTGTCCTTACTATTGAAAAACTCTCAAACAATAGCTTCAAGTCTTCATTTGAGAGTTACTAAATGTCTTCTTCCATTGCTAACTGAAGCTAAATTATTATTTAATGAGCAATCCTATTATTTTACATTAATACACGCCAATTAGCATTGATGGGGTTTTGGGGTTTTGGGGTTTTGGGGTTTTGGGG